TGTGTGTGTGTGTGTGTGTGTGTGTGTGTAACAACGCTGACCTGGTGCATTCTGGAGATGTGTGGGCGTTAAATAACTTCTATATAATGAGCAGAACACCCGAGAACCACACTAATATTCTTTCCTTTCTCAGAACTGCTAGCTTATTGGTTATACTTCATTCAAATTCAGGATTAATCCATTAGACAGGAAATTTGTGCTGCGGCGATTTGTATTTAATGATTTGTTCATAACAAATATGGATTCCCACTATTACTGCTAAAAGCTTTACACATACACACACACACACACACCACACACACACCACAAAAGCTTGCCCTTGCGCAGCTGTCAGGGGTTTACCCCCCTTGGATCCGCCTTAGCTTTCAGAGCTGGCGGTGTGCCGCCGCCGGGGTCTTAACACTAAGGTTTCCATGGTAGATAAATGAAAGGCTGGATCCCAAAGATTGCTTGGCTCCTGAGAACAACGAACGTGGCTCCATTGCATCCTCAAACCTATGTAGCTTCTCGGCCCGTGGTGTATCCCGGTCCCACCTAGGCAACCTCACAGAGCTCTTCCCGAGCGGGCTCTGGACCCCTCTCTCTCTCTCTCACGTTCCTTTCCGCCCCCTTTCTGTGGCGATGAGCCACAGAGCAACAGGAGCAGCTGTACACTCTTCTAGAGAAATCGGTGCCATCGAGAGTGAGGCTCGGGGACGCGGCCCCTGCAGTTGTCACTGGCGCCCAGGGACTGAGGCACTCAGCCTCTCCGACGTGTTCTCTCACCACGCGAACAACCTCCTCTCTGTTCCCTGCGGGCCGCGTGTGCTAGGCCGGTAGCTCCCGGGTGCCTAGGGTGCCAGGGTCGTATCGGGTGACTCGGTGAGTGCGTCTGCCGGCGGGAGGGCCTGGGGCTGGAGGAGGCGGATCTGGCCCCGCCCCGCCCTAGTCCACCTCGCAGCTTAGTAGAGTCTCGGGTGGCCGGTGCTCACCGGGCTCCGGGCCAGTCGACCCGCTCAACGCGCTCTAGCCAGCCATGCGTCCCGCGGCCGCTACGGCACCCAAGTGGCTGCTTCTCGCACTGAATGCTCTGTTACCACTGTGGCCCACAGCCAGAGCCTGGGAGCTCACAATCCTGCACACAAACGACCTACACAGCCGGCTAGAACAGACCAGCGATGACTCCACCAAGTGTCTCAACGCTAGCCTGTGCGTGGGCGGCGTGGCCCGGCTCTTCACCAAGGTGCAGCAGATCCGCAAGGAAGAACCCAACGTGCTGTTTTTGGATGCCGGCGACCAGTACCAGGGCACTATCTGGTTCACCGTTTACAAAGGCCTGGAAGTGGCACACTTCATGAACCTTCTGGGCTACGATGCCATGGTAAGGAGAAGGCTCCCGGGGTAGGAGTCCCAAAATCAGAGAGAGAGAGAGAGAGATTGGAGAACTCGCTAGTGGCCCAGCACAGATAGTTCTCAAAGATGTGCAGGTGGAACTCGACCCAGGCAGTAAGGATGCAGACGGGCGTCCGTTAGATCATTTTCTTAAACTGATGTTATTGGGGTCCTGTAGCGGGCTGAGACTATTAGAAGAGGGACCCTACAGGGTGCTTCAGCTCGAACACGTAGTAGCACTGAAAATTATCAAGGGCTGGAGAGCCATCTCAGTCTCCGCCACATCTCCTCCCATCTGCTCGATCTTCCAAAAAATGCCTCCTCCTTACTTTACTGAAAGGAAATCGGGTCAAAACTATTTAGGTCACTAGCCCCCAAGGAGGAAAACACATCCGATTGGCTCTAAAATCCGAGCACAATGAACTCACCTCCTTAGGTCGATTTACAGTATAGCTACTTTTCTGTGACCTTATACTAGTTATTTATTAGGCCTCGGTGACCAAATCTTCTATAAAATGGGAAGAAGAATATTGACCTCAAAGCACTGTGTGCACATAATATAATCTCTGTAACTGTTAGTTCTTGCCGCTCCCAGGCACTGCCTCAAAGGAGCAAGTAAAAAGGAAATGTCAGAGAGAACCGAAATGCGGAAAAGCTGGGATTTCAGGGGCTCAAGAAAACCTACTTGAATGTAGAGATTCTTCTGAAAGCCTAACTGGAGAGATAAGGGGGCTGAAGATACAGCAAGCGTGCTTGCTTAGAACTCCAGAGGACCTGGATTTGATCCCTGGCATTGTTCAAACTAGGTTTGCAGGGCAGGCCTGGTAAAGGCTGGAGGATGCGAAGTTCAGAGTCATCCTTGGTTACAAAAGAGAGGCCAGCCTAGCACGAGATCCTGTCTCAAAAGGAAGAAGGAAGGGGACTAGGGAGACAGACAGACAGACAGGCACACATGTGCACACACACACAAATACACATACACACATACACAGAGTGGGGGAGATTAGTCCTCACTTCCCAATACTCTGTTGGAGGTGATACCTTGCTTGTTGAGAAGGGGTAAAAAATAATCAAGTAAAGCATAACTGAGATGTAAAAATTAATTGAGCCACCACTCACATTCAACCCAGTGTTGATGCCTAGGGGAAAAGATTCTGCCCCGTTGTAGGGGAAAAGATTCTGCCCTGTTGTAGGGGAAAAAAATCAGAGACAACAGTATCAACAAAAAAAAAAAAAAAAAAAAAAAAAAACCCTTAAGGACTTTGCAAGAGAAATAACAGGGCGGATTCTCAGAACTCTGTGAAACCAGAGGGTGTGGAAGGGAAAGTAAGGTGCGGAAGGCAGACTGCCCACTGTGTACAGGAACAGCTCAGAGGTCAGAGAAGGGTGAGAACTCCCTTCCTACTGAATATTGGCTTAGGGACTCTCAATGCAAGGGCGGCTCTAATGGTCCTTAAGCCTCCAGAGTTAACAGGGGAAGGCAGTGTTCGGCAGCTGCTAGGCAGAAGCATCTCCAGCCTCAAGAACTCTGCAGCCTCTCGCTTTCTTTTTCCACAGCTAGACCTGCTTGAAGCTTTGCAAGCAGTAAGGCAATACAAACATTTACAAAATTGGATGCTTAACTAGCTCTCGTCTCTACTTCCTCCCAGAAGGATAGGATAAACACCGTCTGAGTTTGTTTTGATTTCATGTATAAACCACAACTTTACAGAATTTTCTTTTTCTAACACTCTTCTCAGTCAGGTAAATAATCCTTAGTTAAAAAAATATATATCTTTAAGACAGAATGAGCTCTCTGTGTCCTTAGATGAGGCCACAACAATAGACTACAAGTCAGAGCCCATTACCCTTGAATGTTTAGAATACTTTCTGTGGCAGTGGTGGTGCACGCCTTTAATCCCAGCACTTGGGAGGCAGAGGCAGGTGGATTTCTGAGTTCAAGGCCAGCCTGGTCTACAGAGTGAGTTCCAGGACAGCCAGGACTACAGAGAAACCTTGTCTCGAAAAAAAAACTTAAAAAAAAAAAAAAAACTTTCTGTGGGATGGAATTGCTTTCTTACAAATTTCTGTCAAAGCCATTGAAGTGGGGCCTGAGGAAAAGTAAGCTACATTGGCTGATGTCAAGAGTGGGAGAAGAGGGGATAACGAAGTCTGTAGGTCTGCTTTCCGATGTGTGGGGTGAGTTGTGGGTGGGTTTAATACACATAATTTGACCTGCATGGACCTTAGCTTTCCATGCTGCAGCATATGGTTCTGCTCTGCAGCCTTCCTATCTCACAGGGGGTCTACACTGCTGTGTTGCTTATATTTTACTAAACCTTGGGAGCCTGGTGATTTTCTGTTATAAAAGTCCCCTATCTCAGTTGCCTGTTGTATCTTGATTCTGGGATGTTGGAGACCCAGGTCAGAGTGAACTGCTGCTGTAGAGGGATATTTCCAGTTCCCTGTAAATGGAAGCCAGTGTAGCCTTGGAAACTAGAGCAGGAGGCTCCAAGACAGTTTGTGCTCTCTAGACCTGCTGCACCCCTGAGAGATGTTCTGATGGCTATGGAGGACCAGGATGAGCAGAACCTTTGGGTTCTTCTGCTAGGCAGAAACTGAGAGAAGGTAACAGAAGCAGCCACATAGTACAGCTGTCTATCCTAGTGGAAAGACTAATGTGCCCTGAGGTATGAGGAGGAGACGGACCAAGCTGTTGCACAAACCAGCTCAGAGGTCTGGAAAGCACAGTTCTGAGTATTTTTTTTCTTTAGAAACTAGGAGAAAGGAAGACAGGAAAAGAGCATGAGAAAACTCAGTTGCTTGGGGATTCTCTTTTTTTCTTCTTCTTTTTGGCCTGTTTTTTTTCTGAGCTTCATATTCCTTAACTGGGAGAGATATTTCCCAGCCTATGGACAAGGTACAGTGAGAAATCCTTAGCTTAGTTCTCTATCTCGGATTCGGGAGGAAGAGGACATGACAGCTGTCATTTACGTGAGCCTTTCCTCTACCATCTGTTCTAAGTACCACTGTCTAGACTGTTCCCTTCAGAATTTTTTTTTCTTTTTAAGTTCTCAGATATCCTAAACTGATCTTGAACATGCCGTGTGGTAGAGGATGTCCCTGAACCTCTGATCCTCCTGCCTCCGCCTCCCAAATGCTACTTCTGTGTTCCTATCTTGGTTACTTTTCTATTGCTGTGACAAAATACCATGACTAAGGCAACTTATTAAAGAAAGCATTTAACTAGGCCTACGATTATAGAGGGTCAGAGTCCATGATGGCAGAGCAAAGGCATGGTATCAGGAACAAACTGGGAGCTCTCATCTTGATCCACAAGTAGGAGGCAGACAGAGAGGGGCTCACTGGGAATTGTGTGTGTCTTTTGAAACCTCAAAGCCCTCCTCCAATGACACATCTCCAACAAGGCCACACCTTCTAATCTTCCCAAAACAATTCTGCCAACTGGGGACCATGGATTCAAACATAATAGTCTATGGACTATTCTCATTCAGTCCACCACGGCAACCTTGTTTTTATGATTTTTCCGCCCCATTCTACATGTGCAGTGCCCCTGTGTATCTAGGTGCATGGTGACCTCTTCACACATCATTCTCTGGTCAATTTGGAGATGGCCTCTAATCAATCCCCCTGCCTCGCAAATTCAGCTGTTCCAGATGTCTTCTGCTGATTCCAGTGTGAAGATTTTCATATTCAAGTGCAAAGTTACTGGTCACAATGTGTATGCTTAGTTCTACCTTTCACAAGGGATGGCCAGTTGCCTTCTAGATGGCTTAACACCCACTGCTTTGCTCCTCAGCTGACACCCAGACAAGAGCATGAACCTCTGTATCATTACTGCTTCTTAAAAAGAAAGATATTTTTCTTTTTATGTATGTGTACCAGATGTGTACTGGTGCCTGTGGAAGCCAGATCCTCTGGAAATGGAGTTACGGGAAACTGTTAGCCATCTAATGTGAATGCTGGACACCAAATTCCTGTCCCCAGCAAGAGTAGCAAATGCTCTTAACTGCTGAGCCATCTCCTCAGCCCACATTGTTACCTATCCAGCTTGTCAGTAGCTTGTGTTTTTCTAATAACTAGACATATCAAAAGTTTCTTTTGATAAGTAAGTTTGTGAATCTTTTGGATTTCCTTGTCATCTGATGTCATGTTTGCAGATTTTTCTTTTCTTTTTTCATTGGATTTTGCTTTATTTAGAAGCACTCTAACTATTGATGTAGGGTCAATTTTAGACAGAAATTTGATGATGCAGCTATGCCTGCCAATGTTCAGCTCTGTGCCTCTTAGAACAGAAACTCTTCATTGGATTTAATAAAAAAAAAATCATGTTTGTCTGTCTGTTTTGGCCTGTGTTCTAGAAAGTTTATGGAACAATTTGCTATTTTAAAGTGCAAACCGCCAAGGCTCTCTCTGCCTTTTAGGATACCAGCCTGTGAGAGAGAACTGCTTGTCAGTTCCCTCTCCAGTCACCAGGTTAATGAGGGGCTGAAGCCTCATATCCCCGAGGCTCTTCTCTAAAGATGTGCGGTCCTGAGAAATGGTTTGATGCTGTAAGATGCTTCTGTTCAATGACGGGCACAGGTGTGGAGGCCTGGACCAACATGAAACTGAGATAAGGCTGAGATAGGCGTCGCAGACCTAGGAGAAGTTTAAGCTCCTTTGTCATAGCAATCAGCGTGACCTCTCAGGGGAAGGTATTGGCAGGCCCCTTGCTCTTTAAGCAGGAGTTTCCAAAGTGGCGGAGAATGTCTTTTGTTATTCATAATGAGCCCCTTTGGTAATAGCTGAGGCTAATAGTTTAAGCTAATGAAGTTGCTTTTGAACTAGGGCTCTAGATAGTCTCAGGGTGGAGCCCAGTGCTGGGACGTACCTAATGCTTAGATTGGAGGGTTAGAGAGTTGGAATTTCTGACCTCATCCACCCACCTGCAAGAAAGTGGGGTGGGACTGGAGATTAAGGTCTGACAGGCTCTTAAAAGTAGAATTT